AATATATGCAGCCATATGATCAGTGTTACATCATAGACAACTGAAGGGCAAGTGAGGGCTGGGGACTCAAATGCACAATTTATACTGGCTACTGATGATCTCCAAAAAGGTCAGTAGCAAACAGTTCATGGAGCACATTTTGCTAGGAATTTTTTTCAGTCCAAAAATTTAGACTAGTTCTAATCACTAAAGCACCAAAAGCATTTATAAGGCCACACTGTCCTTTACAATAAGGCTCTTTTACACCACTCTGGCAATGTAAAAGAGTCTTAAAATGTTTACACCTATTTTATACTCCTGGGGGAATTCACTAAGAACAATAGGAACAATTCACTGAATAGGCAGCCTGCTCCTTTCTCCTCTGCCTGAGGGAACAGAGCCTGCCCCGTGCCTACCTCTTCAGAAATACCCCAAAGCCTTCCCCCCTCCATGCTGAGCATGCTGCAATAGCAAGCGAGTTGGACAGAGTGTCTCTCTCTCTCTCACACACACACACACATGACTACCCAGTCTCCCTTTCTCCCAGATGGTGATTTATGTCTCTACTGGCTGCTCCGGGTGTCCAAACCAACCTGTCTACACTGCCAGGGAGTGGACGCATGACTGTTCTTGCAGCTTCCCTTTGCTTCCCTGTCAGAAATCATTTTTCTGTGGGTAAGCAAAGAAATCTGCGGGGCCATGAATTCTGCACATGCGCAGTGATGCAGAATTCCCCCAGGAGTAATTCTCTGGTGTGCATTCCTGCACTGTGTAGACTAGCGCTTGGCCATCCTTGGGGGCCTCTCTAAGTTGTAGCAGCTTCCCAGGGCTGCCTTATGGGCTATAATGCTCAGAATCTCAGCAGCACTGTTTGCTTTGGCACCAGCCCTGCCTTGCCTCTCCTACCCATCCCCCTATGCTACGGCTTGCTAGGGAATCCAGGTAAGGCAGCTCTTCTGCTATCTACTGCAGTGTGTGCAACGGAGGGATCCTCCCCAGCCATTGATGGGGCTTTTTAGATTCCTTTACACCACTTTGAGCCTTTTACCAGCTTGTTAAAAGGGCCAGGTTTAGGTTGAGGATCTCATCCAGTGTTTAAATCTGATTGTGCAGTAGCCAACACTTTTCTGATCCCAATGGGGAAAGGGCCTTTCGAGCTACATCATTCTGTTTTAAGTGGCACTTTGGCTAATGATTTTCTTCTCCCTCATATTAAATAGTAATTTGTTCACCAATGAATAAAGACAAAGAGTTAATCATCCATCACCTATGTAGTCTAGCTCAGTGGGCTGGTATCAGCACAGACAACACATTTCATTACTAGAACTGTAGAATGAGCAGTTAAAAATCTGGCTCAGTGATTCACCAAAGAAATAAATAGACTTTATTGTAGTGTTCTACTGTACAAAATATACATTTGCTAAGAAAAGTGCTAATATGATAATAAATCCAGCTGGGCAGTCAGATCAAAGTAAGCTCTCATGGCATGCTGTGTCCTTACATGTGCTGGTAGCAATCACTAGATCCACAATGATTTTGGCAGATACATTAAGCATGGTTGGAATCTGGCTCAATAGGTGTTGGATGTAACCAAAGAAGGGGTGCAAAGGAATTGTCTGTAACTATCAGACCTGGGGCTGTTTTTCTGTGTTGGCTTGGTCCCTAGCGCAGCTTGGGCTAATTTATTGAGGATATGAAGTAGCATAATTTTTCTGGAAGTTGAGTAGGCAATGCAAGAAAAAGGACAGATGATACTGGGTACAGCAGCCTATTTTGTGTCATGGGATCCTGTCTGTAAAAGAGCTGTTTGGCTGTCTATTCAGCTGGCAAAAGGACAATGACTCCAACCATTCTTCTAGACAGTGTAAACGATTAGTTAAAGTGTCTGGAAATGGCCTATGGAATGTTGAAGCATCTAGAGATCATTAGTAGAGCGGGGGAGGGGGAGGATTTTTGGATGAATACTTTATTTGCTGAAAAATGCAGTTTTGGATCAACCCAAACTATTCACAAATTTGGGTAAAAAAATTAAGGAAAACAATCGAAAAAAGTCAAAATGTTTTGTTTCAAAATAACACTTTGTTTCAAAATTTAACTAGATTTATTTTGAAAAACAACCAAACAAAAAAGGGTTAAGCATGCCTGAAAATGAAATGAAACAAAAACACTGGATTTTTAAAAAATATAATAATTTTTTTTGTTTCGTGTCAAGTTGTTTTTTTTACTCAAAATGAATTTTTTTTGGAAGGTTTTCATTTTGGTGATAAAACCACACCAACTCCATTTTGGGTTCACCCAAAATGATTTTTTCCCCCCAGATTTTTCGGTTTGGCCACCAAACAGAAAAATCAATTATTCACTCAGTTGTATATGTATTAATATAATATTTACTATTTAGTTTTATTAGTCCCAGTGGTGTATTCAGTGCTGTAAAAACTTATATGCAGACTAGATCATGGCCCTGTGGCATTTACAATCTAAACCATACATGGATGCTATAGTTCAGACTGATTAATCATTTTTTTCTAGCATTTGCAACCAGATTTGCATTGGATTGTGTGTGTGCACGTGCACATGCTCATATACAGGTGTGCTTCCCCTCTGCAGCAGTTGCTGGAGGCATTCTGGTTATTTCAGACAGAATACCTGAATGTGGTGCACCTGAGTTTGAGCTGTGACTGCCTTGTAAAGGTGCAGCATGTACTCCTTCCCACACAAGGCTTATTCCAGTGCCGTGAAAGTGGGAGGTAACCCTGCTCCATCTCCCTGGGATATTTAGTGCCACTGTTGTAGCTTTACACTCCTGGTTCTTGTGTGCCGTGACCCTAAGGACTAAGATTGTGGCCGCTCCTTACACCCTCGCTATAATCCAACCCTTGTGTACCAGCTGAAGGACCGATCTTGTGCCTGTGTTTCTTGTTAATGCAGGATTGGTGCAGATACGTCTGGTGATCTGCCCAAATTTTAGCTAGCTCTCGGTTACTACTATGGTTGTTGATTTATACAATACTAATGCATAATGTATATTTAAAAACATCTTAATGTAATTGTTTATCATGTGAGTCAATTTCAGACAGCTAAATTACTCATCATTCAGCAGAGTGGCAACTTCTGAACAATCTTATTCACTTTTGTGAGGAAAGACTTGGCCTGATAACTTTACACCTGTGGAATTTGGCAATGTTTCCTTTTACACAAAAATGTTTAGAGCTGCTCTGTTGACTTTGTGTATGTGCCTGATTCAGAGAACAACTCAGCACTGCATGCATCTGAGTCAAAGCCCATTCGAGTCAATGTTAAAACAGCCATTGACTTCTGTGGTCCAGGATCAGGCCCTGTATGCTCTGTACATGGCTCACAGAACAGCAAACTCCCTTGCCTGAGTTTCCCCATCCTACCTCCTGTATTTTTGAAGTATAAACCCTCAGTTTATAATATAAAAGCAAGAATTCTGGCTGTTCCAGTGCAGGGGAAAGGGTTCAGAGAGCAGCTTTACCTCTTCTGCTCCTGAGCAGGAGGCAGCCACTGCTGCAGCTACTACTTCCAGAGTACCAGGGTGGGAGGAAGGAAGGCACATTGGAGTTACCGTGAGTGCTGAACACCTCAGGATGGGTGTGACTGGAGGAAGGAGGAGCCATTGTCATGGCCCTGAGCCCTCTACACCCCCTAGCAGGCTGCGCCAGTGTGAACCTTTCTAAAGGCTTACCAGAGGTAAGTATGCTACAACTCCCAGTGTCCCTGAGAGACATAGGCCAGTGCCTCCTCTATGCAGACTTAATGATTTCAGCCACTGTTGCTCAAGTAGAGAACTTCCTCTCTCTTCCCCCATTGCCACCAAGCAGGTCTGGCTCTAGAAGATGCAACTAAGCCCTGAATGTTCTACAATCAGTGGGGACTGCCTGAAAGAAGGAGCCTTATCTCTTGAGAACATTTGGTCTTCGTCCATTCAGAGGAACAAGAAATATTTTCAAATGAACAGTGTAGAGTATGTCATTTAAAGGCAGATTTTTTAGATGGTACAGGGACTCTTCTTCTGTTTGTTTATACAGCAAGTACCTGACAAAATGGAGCCTTGGTCTTGATTGAGGACTTTCGGCATTATTGTAATACAAATAAACAATAATGAAAGATGTGACATTTTAGGAAAGATGGTCCAGTGCAGTGGTTCTCAACCAGGGGTACACATACCCCTGGGGGTATGCAGAGGTCTTCCAGGGGGTACTCAACTCGTCATAAAAAGCACTAGCAAAGTCAGTCCAAACTAAAATTTCATAGAGACAGTGACTTGTTTATACTGCTTGACATACTACTCACTGAAATGTAAGTACAATATTTCTATTCCAATTGATTAATTTTATAATGATATGGTAAAAATGAGAACGTAAGCAATTTTTCAGTAATATTGTGCTGTGACACTTTTGTAATTTTATGCCTGATTTTGTAAGCAAATAGTTTTTAAGTGAGGTGAAACTTGGGGGTACGCAAGAAAAATCAGACTCCTGAAAAGGGTACAGTAGTCTGGAAAGGTTGAGAACCACTGGTCCAGTGGTTAGATTAGCCTAGGACTTTAGAGACCTAGATTGAAGTCCCTGCCATGCCACAGACTTTTTATCTGACCTTGGGCAAGTCACTTAGCATCTCTGGGTATGTCTACACTGCAATAAAACACCTGTGGCTGGCCCCTGTCAGCTGACTCAGGCTTACGGGGCTCAGGCTGTGAGGCTATAAAATTGCAGTGTAGACATCTGGGCTTGGGCTGGAGGCTCTAGAGCCCATGAGGTGGGAAGGTCCCCGAACCCGGGCTCCAGCCCGAGCCCTGATATCGACAGTGCAATTTTATAGTCCAGCAGCCCAAGCCCTGTGAGCTCGAGTCTGTTGACATGGGCCAGCTGTTCCGTGCCTCTTTTCTCCATCTGCAGAATGGGGATAATAATACTTTCCTCTCACGGGGGTGTTGTGAGGACAGATACATTCTATACTGTAAGACACAGATAATAGAGTAATGGTAGCCATTTAAGTACCTTACATAGATTTTCATTCTTCTTTTGCCGCATCTTCCTCCCCTCTGAACTTTTCCTCATGAAAACATATTCTCAGCAAAACTGAGGGGGCAAGGGGAGAATTAACAATGGTTTGTTCATTTTAAGGTATGTCACTGCAAATCACAAATGGTAAGGACTAAAATCCCCTTACTTCACTAACATTTTTCTCTACCTTTTAGTGAATTTCAGAGGGGACAGTTACTTGCAATAAACTTTTTTTGTAGTGTATCACTGTACTATTTTCAGCAATTTTTGCATTTTATAGGAGAAGGAGGAGTACTTTTGCTGACTCCATAGCTAATCTTTATTTGGCCTGCTGGTTATAGACTAAGAACTAATATTGGTGTTCTCCCAACAGTCCTTTTCCCAGTCTGGCAGTTATTATTATTGTAACAGTAGTGCCCAGGAGCCCCAGTTATGGATCAGGACCCCATTGTGCTATACAAACAAAGAAAAGACAATCCCTGCCCCAAAGAATGTATAATCTATAGTGTTCTTTGCAGTGGAGAGAAGACAGGTGTGATGGTTTGGACCCCCCGCTGCCTGATGTACTGGGGTTTCACTGAGCCTGCCTGCTCCACTAACCTGGGCTCCCTCTCCCTGTTTTGCTGAATCAGGCTCTCTGGCCTCTGGCAGAATACACACACAGGTAGGGATGCACCAGCTGTAGAATCACACAGTCTGAAAGCAGCTCTCTATGGGAATATTCACCTAGGAAATTGCCCAGCACTCAAATGCACATCCCCTGTGTCTTGCGCTGTATAGAAAAGGGCAAGCTCATAAAAATTCGCCCTCTCCCTCAGTGTGGAGAGAGAGATGCACAGCTTTTTGCCCCCCACCAGATATGAATTGCACAAACTGGGTTATGTTATAAACAAGAAATAAGTTTATTAATTATAAAAGATAAATTTTAAGTGATTATAAGGGATAGCAAACAGAGCAAAGCAGATTACTAAACAAATAAGCTTAGTATGTGTGTTTTGTTTTAAGATCTTAAAATGACTGGTTTCAAGAAGTAATTTCTCACCCTAAATATTGATTTTGGGCAGATTGCATAAATTCTTGAAGGTTAGCAACACTGACTGCAGCTTAAATCTTCAGGTATCTTATTCACAGACCAGATCCCTTTTCCAGCCTGGGGTCAGTACTCCTCTGCCTTTCCCTTTGTTCTTGTTCCTTAGGTGTTTCCAGCAGTCATCCTGGGTGGGGATTCAGTGAAGAGTGAAGAAAGATCAACTTACTCCCCAGCCTTAAATAGAATTTACATAAGATGGAAACCTTTTCTTTCCCAGTCTTGACCTCCCCCTCCTTTTAGTGGAAAATCACTAGAAGTTCAAGATGGTGTTTAGTACCAGGTGACCTAACCACCTGACCTTGTAGTGTCAAAGCAAAGTCCCAGGAAGGAGAGAGATTAGTATCTTTAAAGTCTTATTGTTTCTTCCTAATGGCCTATCAAGGCTGATGGCCTGTTGTCTGGTGGGTGTTTCCCAAGTACACACACAGTTATAATTGTTACATAGCCAATATTCCTAACTTTAGATATAGAAATGATACATGCTTACAAATTGGGTAATCACATTTAGTAAATCATAACCTTTCCAATGATATCTCACATGACTTGTCTTGCATAAAACATATCTTAGTTATGCCATATTAATATCATAACAATATCTCAGTGAAGAATATGGAGTGTAATGTCACAACAGGATTCAGCTGGAATGTATATAAAAAGGATTCTTTTTAAAACCCACTTGAGACAGACAAGGACTTGTTGTTCTCCCTGACTGTCCCCAGACTGGCTATACATGGTATGTGCTGCCTTGGGTCACCACTAAAACTGCGAGGAAATCCCAGTTCCCATTTGCTGGGAAATTCTGCAATTTCCAAATTTTGTTTCATTCTAAATCAGAATGAAAATGAAGAATTTCATAAATTCTTGTGAAAGGACATTTCTGAAAAAAATCCAAAAAATCTTGCATGCTTTACTCTTGACTACATGAGGCTAATAGCAAGGTTAAAAATGAAAAAATCCCACGTTGGTTCAGTCACATTGAAAAGAGAGTTTAAAAGTTACAAATCTGGGAGGTGATGCAGAGGTTGAGCAGATACTTAAAATGCTGCTCCTGTCTCTAGCGAGAAGTCTGACTACATACAGGTAGGAGCACTATTTTCTTCCCAGACCTTACTAGAGCACATATTCTGGAGATATTTCTGCTTATGTGAAAGGCATGAATATTATTAAAATTATTAGTAATGCAATGTATTTACCACTATGCTTTATTTCAAAGAGGAGGGGAAAGACACAAGCTAGTGCTCTGATCCTGCTTTAAGTCAGAAAACCGACAAAATGTTCCTTGTTCTTAGCATAAATTACACATTTCAGAAGCATTTTTCTTCTTTGCAGGAAAGTGGCCTTTGCATAGAATGTTAAAAATATATTTGAATACTATATTTGAGTTGTATTTGCATCCCTGTGTATTGACTCAAAGCAAAATGCATTTCTTCACTTCAGTGTATTGTGTTGGCTAAATCATGTGTTAGTGCAGTCAAGGATACAGTATTTTTCATCTCAAGTGTTTTGAGATGATATTCATTCAAACAACATTCAGTAAAAAAATTGCCTAAGTCTGAACTGGCAAAATATATATTGCTGGGCACTTATTTATCATTTGTAGGTAAGGTCGGACGTTGTATTTTTTTAGATTAGCTTCCTGTACCTATTGTTTGGGAGTTTTATTGTTTTCAGCATCCAGATTTCATATCAGTAAGAGGTAATTACCTCCCAGAGAAAATTCTCTCTGTTCCTGATTGAGGCCATGCCAGTGCAGCAGCAATGTTACTCAACAACCACTAGGCATCCTTGGTGGTGACATCTGTCTGTTGAGGGATCAAGTCCCATAGGTGTTGAGAAGTTTTGGGTTCCTGACAGAATGTTGGAATAGCCAAAGCAATGGTTTAAAAATCAGCCTGTTTGTTTCTAGCACCAATGAAAACATCCTGATGGCTGGAGCCCAACATTCTTGGCAGTAATGTACGAAATAGGAAAAATTCCTTGCATGAAGAATATAAGTGCAGAAAAGAATCACACTCTGCAAAACAGTTTACCTTTCCTACTTGTGACTCAGAAAATGACTAACTCACTGTGGCTTCATTATTATGGAGTTATAGCTCTTATCTTTTCTAGAGTTGCTAAATGGATTACAGTATTGCCTAGGACTTAGTGAAAGATAAGACAGAGCTACAGTACTTGAGATTCCATTGTTCTCAGATGGTGAATAAAAGGCGAGGATCAAAATGCTTAAAAATAAGAGGAACGAGGATTCAGCAGCACTAACTCATGGGAGCAATGCTATTGACATCCATGGGACTACTCACATGAGTAAGGGTGGCTGAGTCAAGCTCTAAGAAAATTTGGGTCAACCTAACTAGACATATTAGGAAAACAAAAAGGCATGCTGCTGTCTCTTCTTCCACAAACAACTTCTTAACATAGAAACTCATTAGGAAATAATGCTGCCTAAAAATATTGGGGAACCATAATAACAGCATATCAGAAAAGATCGGGATGTGACAAAGATCAGACAAAAAGCAGATTCATGTTTAATTCCACGTAACTTTTGCAAGTGATTACGACGGAGATTAAAGAAGAGGCATGAGGTATGTGTGATGTTTGCCCAAACACAAAGTGCAAAATAGATCATTCAACCAAAATGATTTCTATTTTAGGTTATAGAAAACAACACAGAAAGAACCAACCTGGAGCCTGATTCTCCTTTTGTTCACATCAGTTTTACACCCGTGTAACTCCACTGACCTCTACGGAGGTACCTATGATTTACATCAGGGCAAGCGAGAGGAAAACTAGACTGTGGGTCTGAGAGAAGCCACAGTGATACCCTCTGCAACATTCTAATACTGAGCTGAAATCCAAAATGGCAGCTGCTCTACAGCTGTCCTTACAGTACATATGGAGGGATACTCCTCTACATTTAAAGGTGCAGGGCACAGAAGACTGAATGACCACATTTACTATGGATTGCTTAGCTACCTACACCACTGCAAGAAATATTTACAGGGAAATAAACCTTGTAGTACATTGCTGAATAGTAGCTGATCAAAAACATTAACATGGTTTAATAAAATATAAATAGAGTAGTATTTTAGTAAAAACTGTTTTGCTAAATTATGCAGCACAATCTGCTTACACAAATGGAAATTTACTAGCAAATATCACAGTAGCTGTAAAAAGTGTGTATTTTGTCAACAGCAAGATACACCCACTTTGGGCCAAATTTTGTCAGTTCCACCTGTGCCCTTCTATTGATTTCAGTGGGAGTGAGTAAAGAATTGCCTAGTGAGCGAGTAAAAAATTATTGTAGAAATGGCACTCAGCTACTGTGGTGTTCAGATATTATAGCAACTGGACCTGAAATACTACAGTGATATGCACCATAGAAATACCAAGCCTAAGACAGATAGCAGAAATGGCATGTTGGGAGCTGAACACATTTAGGACCTATTAGAATCCCTTTGAAGATCTGGAATATTCAGAGGTCTATAGGAATGGCTGATATTTTCTTACTTGCCTGTCTTTAGGAACAGCATGCACACTACCATGTCTTTTCATTCCATCCCTGGAAGCACAGCCCATAAAAATACTATCATGCTTTGGGGAACCAGAAAGACTGATTAACTGGTCCTTTAATGCCATTTCTGGAGATATTTCTGGCTAAGGCAGTATATATTATCAGATGGAAATATCATTGAATGGCCATAGACATTACAGGAACTTTGAATTTGCTGTATGTCATTGTAAACTGGTTTAACTTACATGACAAGCAAGCTGATTTTTATGTGACACTATTGGGAGTTTGTATTTTGATGCCCTTTGGTTTTTTCCTTTCAGTGTTCATTTAAAAAATATTTCAGGGAAGCTGAGATTCATTATTTCCTTGGGCCTTTGTTTGTTAACTATTTACCAAGTTATTCCCCCTACTTGTAATCCCTCCCCCACAATCAATCTTTGGTTCATTTATCATGTTGGCCTGTTAATTTTTGAA